AAGATTTTATTTATTTATTTGACAGAGACACAGTGAGAGAGGGAACACAAGCAGGGGGAGTGCGAGAGGGAGAAGCAGGCTTCCCGCGGAGCAGGGAGCCCAATGCGGGGCTCGATCCCAGGACCCCGGGATCATGACCTGAGCTGAAGGCAGACAGCTAATGACTGAGCCACCCAGGTGCCCCCAGATCCTGGATGATCTTGATTCATTTTGCCTGGTTATGAATATCCTCAACCATCATATTGCCTGGTCCTAACAACCTCAAACTCTATGTTGGCCAGTTCTGGATGACTTCAGTTGTAATTTTGTGTGGTTATGGATGATCTCAACTGCAACAGCAGCTGGTCTGACATCACCTTAACCACCAGGTCGGCTGGTTGGGAAGCTACTCAGCTGCAAGTTTGGTCAGTCTTGGTGACTTCAAACACTGTGTTGTCCGGTCTTGGATAACCTCAGCTGCCACTTTGGTAACAAATGACCTCAGTCTCCATGCTGGTTAGTTCCATTCAACCTCAGGTATCATGGTGCTTGGTTCTAGATGATCCCAACTGCTCAACCAGGGCGACCTTCACTGCCATTCTGACTGGTTAATGATCTCAACTGCCATGTTGACCAGTCCTGGACAACCTCAGTTGCCATTTTGACCAGTTACAAATAATTCCACCCTCCATGTTGACCATTCCAGGACCTCAACTTCCATTATAGCTGATCCTGGACTACCTCAACTTCTATGTTGGCTCAAAGTGAACAACCTTAACCTTTATTTTAGCTAGTCTTGAGAAACCTTACTATTCATGTTACCCTGTCCTAGACAGCTTCAACCTCTGTGGTGGCTGGTCTTGGACAACCTCAACCTTCAAGCTGGCCAATCCTGGGTAACCTCTTCTGTTACTTTAGCAGGACTTGGACATCCTCAACCTCCATTTGGCCTGGACCCTAATAACCTCAGTCCCCATTTTGGTCTGTCTTGGACAACCTCAAGCACCATTTTGGCCAACCCTGAACAACTACCGCAATTAAATTTTGTCCTCAATACCACCACACTCTTGTCTGGAAAGCTCTCTCCTTTCTGCACAGGTAACTCCTTATTTCTGTTCCCACAGCCAGATAATGTGTTTCTTCCCTCAGGGCCTGAACAACCTCAACGCCAAATCAGGACAATCTCCCCCTCCATTCCACATGGAGGTAAGTTTCCGGTTTTCTGAGTCCCCGAAAACTGCAGCCTCCATTCTCGGGGAGGTATAGGACTTCTGAGCCCTCCTGACCTGGACAGCATCTCAGCGTAGTTGGTAAGGATACGGGATGGATGGTGTCTCTAACAGCCCAGGCAAATGTGCTCTTTTCCTTGTCATTTTTCTGCTGGTTACTGGAGGTTATGGCTTAGGCAACCTTGAACTCTGTGTGTTGGGCAGTGAGGCCAGGCAGGGCTTCGGGGTGTCCCCAGCGCTGCCTCACCTGGACACTCGATGTGACAGAGGTTCTGGGTGGGTGTAATACCATCGTTTCGCCACCAGGTGGAGTTCAGCTGGAAAATGCCGTATTTGCTGCTGCGGTCAGGATTGTGGCCCACGAAGCAGGTGTCAAAGCCACTCTCACGGTGTGCCATGCACAGCCCTGGGGCAGGGAGGGGGTAGGTAGGAGGTAGGCATGAGTCCTGGGACTAGGGGATGGTAGGATAAGGGGAGGGGACAGGGATCGTTGTCATCCCAGTTGTGGGGCTGATGATCTTGGTTTGGTGGTGGTGGTGGTGTTGGTGATTCTGGTGAGACACGAGGGACGGCGGGGTGATAGTATTCGTGATGACTTTGATGGTAGTGATGGTGTTGCTGGTAGACATGCGGGTGATGGTTGGGAAGGCAATGATGGTAAGGACATTAGAGTCCGTCAGTCAGGGGATGGCCGAGAGGATCATGCCCTGGCCTAGGGAGGTCATAGATGAGAAGGGGGGCCTGGGTCTGAGTGTGGTGGGCAGCTCGGGGTGTGGGTGGGACTTGGGGCAGCTGGAGTCTCACAGTCTCCAATGCTGTAGCCCTTGAAGCCACTGAGGCCCACCTTCTTCAGCTTCATTGCCAGTTCACAGCGTTCATAGATCTTCGCATCCACGGCGGCGACCATCAGTGTGGCCAGAGTCACCGCCACAGTGACCCAGGTCTGCATTATAACATGCATAGGCCCTCCTAGCCAACTCTTCGCTCCAGACTCAAATGCTGCCCTGTTCAGAACTAGGGGCATTCCGGACCTCTGGGCTCTATGAGCAAATACCATGTAATAGATTCTGGAACACAGAAGCCAGAGGGCTCACTGTCTTTCCAAGTGCCACCTCTGTTAGAGACGGACACACAAGGGAAAAGAAAGATACTGACCTATACACAAAGACGGGAGGAGGCAAAACCAGGGAGAAACCCTGAGATGTCAGAAAGAGATGCAGGAAGAGAGGGGCTGGAGACTCAGAGATAGGACTCAGGCCCTGGGCCTCACGATCAGCCCACATTCCCCCACTTTCCTTAACACAGTGCCACTCCACTGTTTTTAATCATGCTCTACCACTTGGTTCCCTCCATTTCCACTCACTCTGCCCCTCGTCACCTCCATTCCCCCCACTCTGCTCAGCAGCCAGCTCTGTTCACTACATTGTGCCTCCTACCACCTCGATTTCTCACGCTCTGCACAATATGGCCACCATGCCCTCGCCTTCTGCCCCTCGTTACCTACATTTACCCATTCTTGGCACCTCCTTCACTTCACTTACTATGCACAGTTCCACGCTAATTTCCTGGAATCTGGCCCACGTTCACCCCATTCAATCACACTCTGCCCTCCGTTACATATTATACACGACACACGACATAGAGATGCGCCCTCTACTGTTGCTTCACCTCCATTCTTGTTCCAGCTTTTCATCCCTACCCCCCCCCCCACCCGGTTCACTTACACTGTCTCTCGGCCACTACCCTTCGTTCACGCTGGGCCTCGTATTGCCACAACTCCTTAACCCTCTCCTTACATGGCCCCAATTCTCTCATGTCGTATTCCTTCACCTCCATTCACTCTCAGACTCTCGTTTTCTACTTTTCCCCTCCACTTCTTGACACCGCACGAAGTGACTCCCATTCACTCTCACGTGGCCCACGCTTCAGCTTGCTTCATGGACTCTGGGCCTCATTCTCTCCCTCACTCTCTCTCTTGCGGCCCTTTCTTCACCTTTATTCTCTCCAGCGCTGCTCCCATGTTTACCCCCATTCCCCGTATTCCTCCCAAACACTAGCCCAAGTTACCTGCAGATTCTCATTCTCTGCTTGCTCAGCCCCATTCCTCACTTTCTCTTCATTGACTCCATTTACTCTCACTCACTCACTGCCTCTCATTCATCGAAATGATCTCATTCATTGAAACTCATTTCCTGTGTGACCCCTAGTTCCCTCTTACCACCCCGTTCTGCGCCTGATCTCATGTCTAGTTTCCGTTCATTCAGTCACACTCTGCCTTGAATTCACTGGGCCCCATGTTCCCCCACTTTATTCACTTGGGGCCATGTGACCTTCGTCTTTCCCTTTGGCTCACAATACCCACAGTGACTCACCTTCTTCTCTTTGCTTCTATTCTCTCTCACTCTGCCCAACAGGCACATGCGGCAGATCCTTCACCTGGACTGATTGATACTGGGATCCCTGGACATGCCTGGAGCCCCGCATCACCCCTATCTAATCCCAGTCTGCCCCTCATTCACCTCTAGCCACTCCACTTCTCCCTTAGAGTGTCGCCACTCGAAACTCAGCCTGATTCACATACTCACATTCTACCATGTATACGTCTTCAGTCCCTCTTCTGTCCCTTGTACTCCCCATTCTTCCCTCCATGCCCCACATTACCTCCATTCACTCCCACATTCCCCCTAAATTCACCTCTCTCACTCTTAACATGCCCCATAAACCATCGTTTATTCGCACTCTGGTCCTTAGTGCTCAAAACAACTTGCACTCTCCTGCTTTATCAAGTCCATTCATGTTCACCTCCTTGAATTGCTCCATTCACTCAGTCTGCTCCCACTTTCACTTTTGGTCACTTTAGCCCGTGCCTCATTTTCCCATCATTTACTCAGTCTCATCCATAATCTCCAATTAATTCAAAATCGAATGCATGGTCATTCCCTCGTGCAACTCCACACTACCCCCTTTGACTCCACTCTATTCATTCACCTCCCTCCCAACACCCTCTGTCTCTCCTTGCCCCCATTAACTCCCAATCTGCCCTTCATTCGCCATTATTCACCCCTGCCTGTCCCATATGTCTCCCATTTAGTGACACTCGCATTGGCCAAGACAGTAAATTCTGACATATTGTTCAGGATTCATATACCAGTGATGGTATACTACAAATACCAGAATGGAAGTGGATTCCTCTCTTGGAAGCAGGTAGTTCAGGGCTAGCATGCTAGCTTCAAGGTCACCAGAGAAGTGGCTTGTGTGCTTTTGCTCTGACAAACTCACCTGCTGCCTTATGGTCCCAAATCACTGCTCACAATTGGCCCCACTTCTGTAGTTTTGATGAAATGTATCTTTTATTTTAAAGTAAGTTCTCCACCCAGTGTGAGGCTTGAACTCCTGGCCCTAAGATCAAGAGTCACATGCTCTACCAACTGGGCTAGCCAGATACCCCTTGATGAAATGTATCTTAAGAACAATTGTGGTGGGGGCGCCTGGGTGGCTCAGTCGTTATGCGTCTGCCTTCGGCTCAGGTCATGAGCCCAGGGTCCTGGGATCGAGTCCCACATAGGGCTCCCTGCTCTGCGGGAAGCCTGCTTCTCCCTCTCCCATTCCCCCTGCTTGTGTTCCTGCTCTCGCTCTCTCTCTGTCAAATAAATAAATAAAATCTTAAAAAAAAAAAAAAAGAACAATTGTGGTGATGACTCACTGGTGAGGTGGGGGACCTGTGGGTGGGAGTGTCACCTTGTAGAGACTCTGTGGTGGTACCAGCTACTGTCAGCTTCCCATACCCCTTCACCTAGCTACCTGTGGCTTAGACCGTTATATGAGGAGGTTGCATCTGCAGAGACTGATGGCAGAAGATGCCCAGGACATAGTGGGAGGCCTCGCTCCTCAGCGCAGAAAAGCTGGTCTCACAGAGCTTGTGGATGTGCACTGTGAACCCTGGGACAGTTTTTGAGGGGCTGTATCACTGGCTCAGGGACATTTCTGGAGCTGGCAATCACTGTACCCCAATAGCCACCAACCCTAAAGGATCCTCTCTATACACAGGGGGGTGTGTGTGTGTACAAAGTGGTGGGGGAATGATGTTTGTTAAGATAGAAGAGGCCAGGCTGGGATGAGCCCTACAGGTCCAGTCTTCCTATTTCCCACCTTCGAATGCATTCAGAGAGAACGGACATGTTTTGTACCCAAGAAGTGCTTATCCTTCAGGGAGCAAGAGATAGGAGCTATTCCTCTGTTTTCTCTCTTTGCTTTGTCTGCCAAGAAGCTCCATCGAGATTTCTGGTAAAAACATTCCTTGGCTAGTTTTAATGGTTCTGGGATGAGGACCCGCTGATACTTTCTGGAAGTTCTGTGGGATAGTGAATAAACAAAAGAAGAATATTATTGGGTAGAAGTTAAGGATCCAACCTTGGGAAACTGTGTGACCTTGGGCAAGTTACTTAGTCTCTCTGGGACTCAGTTTCCTCCTCTGACAAGTGGAGGCCATGGGACTGTTCACAGATAGTGGGGACTGAGTGAGGCAGGTCATATCATGTGCTTCACACGGTGTGTGGCACACAGGAGCTACTGAGCTAGGTCTGAGCCCCCATTATCACTTGCTGGGCCTATTGGCAGAAGCCACACTGTTTTTCCTGCTTTCGCCCTTGCCCTCTGTTGTCGTTCTCCAAAGCAGCCTGCAGGTTATCTTTGAATTTTTTCCTTTTTATTAACAAAAGCTTAATACATATAGATGCCTAATTTTATTTAAATAATAATACTAAAACATGTAGCACTTGCTATGTGCCAAGCATTGTTCTAAGTCTTTACAATTATCAGTTCATTTGTCATCGTCCCTATTTTATAGATGAGGAAGAGAAGAGTTCTGCCCTAGTTACAAAGCTCCTAGGTAGGGGTTTGAAGCCAGGTTGTCTCCATCATGCTTGTTTGGTTCTGACTTCTTCCTTGCTATATTCCCAATGTCTAGAATACTGTCTGTCATACAGGAGATGCTTAAGCAAATCCCTGTGAAGCTCATGTTCTAGTGGTGCAAGACTCGCAATAAACAAGAATGCGAGATTGCTTCTGATGGGTCTTTAAAAAATCTTATCCCTCTTATGGCTTCCCATTCTGTCTAGAGTGAAGCATGAGCTCTGTTCTTGGCAGAGGAGGCCCTACGGCATCTGGCCCCCCACCCACTTCTCCCTCCCTCACACCTCCTACGCTCCCAACACACTGCCAGTTTCCATTCCTCCAACACGCCGAATTGGGTCCCACTTCCGGGCCTTTGCAACAGCCGTGCCCTCCACCAGAAAGCTCTTTGCTTCGGCTGTTTGTGGGGCCGGCTCCTTTTGGTCAGCCAAATTGTCACCTCCGACGAAAGGATTTCGTTCCCGCCCATCCAGAGAAAGCAACCCGTCAGCCACTGCTTAACACATTCCCTTCACCCCGGGGTGTGTGCGTCCTAGGGCCCCGTTTATTTTTATCCTTCAGCTTGTTTGTATGCCGTCCTTCAAAACTCCCAGCTCTAGCCAGTGGATGGAGCCAGTGTGACCTTTCCCTACCTCTCCGCCTTTGTGCACGCTGGGCGATTCGGCCACGCATCCCGTCTTCCTATTCAATTACACCTGTAAACCCGACGCTGCCCTTCGGGTTCAAGACCCCAAATTCCGGCCTGCCAGAACTTTCCTCAATTGGGCAGTTCCCCTCCCCGCCACAAGCAAAATGCTTTTCGAGGTCTCGGGAATGACGGTCTCCGCTGAACAAAGTAAACACCTGCTCCACACGGCAGCCCTCGAGGTGTAGAGCCCTGGTGGGCGCGGCCATCTCAAAGCAGGGACCGCGCGAGCGCGGCCATCTTCCCTCCGCGCAGGCGCCGCGGCCCCGCCGCGTTCGCGTGGGGCAGGCGGGAGGGGGGCGGGAGGGGGCCCGGTGTTGACTATTGGCGGACGCGGGCTCAAAGCCCCCACTGAGCGTGCGCACACCCAGCTGCTGCAGCCCTGTGGGCTGCGGAGCCCGAGTTGGTCCCGAAGCGGAAGTGCTTCTTAGGGCCAGGTCTTGTACTGGTCTCCTCTGCAGTGAGCAGAAAATCTATTGTCGAGAGGGTGAGAGAGAGAGAGAGAGGGAGAGGGGTTGAGAGGGCGAGTGCTAGAGGTGGTGGGCTGAGTGATGGGGAGTTCTGGGGGGAACGAATGGAGGGGGATGTGGGGGGGCGGTCATTGATGTGGGGAGTTGTGGGGTGAGTGATGGGAGACCGAATGAAGGTCTGTGCGCACGATGGTGGACAAAGTTATGGTACTAGTCGGGGTTGAATGGGGCTTGTTAAACGCTGACTTCTACACATTTTCCAGCACAGTGACCTGCGCTAAGGGTTCATACGCACTCCTCAGGTCCCTCCTTAGGCGCGCCCCACCTCTCCCTGTGCCCCTCTCCCCTTGCCCACGCCCCCAGGTAGGGGCCTGGTGTGAATGCTCCAGCCGAAGTGAATCTGCACCCGAAGGCTTCCTTCTGGCTCCTGGGCAAGCCGGCCCCAGTGAGGTGAGGAGAAGAAAGAGGCACCTGAGAGGACTCACCTCAGAGCTTAGAGCTTGGGGTTTGGGGGTGGGGTGGGCGAGGCTTGGTGCTGCAGGGTCTGGTGGCGGGGGGGGGGGGGGGAGATCGTCGGGCTTAAAACGTCAGGAGGATGACAGTTTTTAAAAGTTCAGTTTTCTTGGCGTTTAACAAATACTAGCACATTTGAATTACAGATTAATTAAAAATAGAGGAAAAGAAAATCAAAAGGAATTCATTTTATCCCCCTACATTTAAACGTCCATTCTTAGAGTTTTTGGTGTGTATTAGGGGTGTGCGTCTTTTAAACATTTCACATATAGTATGAGATGGGTTCCTGCAGTTTTATAACCTACCTTTTTTTCATTTAGAAGTTTTACTGTGATTCAGCTTAATTTATTCTGTGACATTTTAAAAACTTTTAATTTAGATATATGTACAGAAAAGTACACAGATGCTAAAGCATGCAGTTCCATACAACGGTGTTTTTAATAGCTATGTAGGATTTCACCCCTTGTATTTCCTTATTAGTCTCTTATTTTGAGTCATATAGGATTAACTTTGGCATTCATGAAGTCAGTGCTGAGATGAAGGTACTTATAGAGGAATTGTGATGTATTAGAATAATTTCATTAAAGGAAATACCTGGAAATACAATTTCTGGGTCAGTACACAAGTATATATAGAAAAAAAACCTTTTTGTGTTAGAAGCTCAGGTGAGGAAAAGAGTCAAGAATACACAGGTGGTTGTTAAAACCGCATGGTTGCCCAAACTTCCACAGGGTGGCCTCATGCCCAGCTCATGTGAGGGGATTCCTAGGCAGATAATTCTGGGCAGATATGCCTGATGGGTTCTCTCATATGCTGTACACTTCTCCATTCTTCCAGCTCGGGCTTCGCACATCTCTGCCTTTTCCCAAGAAGAGCAGGAAATGGCCAAACCCCAGGTAAGTATGTAGTCTGTTCCTTCCTCTTTTTTTTTTTTTTTTTTTGTTTGGTA